ATGCCCCATCAGGGTTTATTAATCAACAAATCAAAAAGTAGTATAACTATCAATTCCAACAGTAGATCAATCACCAATAAATTAAAAGAAAAATAAACAAATGTAGAAAAATGACAAGAGCTTCACAGGTTTCCAAATTTCATATCTAGTTATCTTTTTCAATCAACCGTGCAGAAATCCATGGCTATCTTGACAGTATCATATCCGTCCGACCTTCATCTATTACAAATAATCTCATGTCCGGCCTCTAGCAATCTAATTGTATGTGTTTATATAATATTTAAAAGTTGATGTTAAAAAATTTCTCAAATTCTGTAATTAAGTGTAAAAAATAAATCTTCTTAAATTTTACAATTAAGAAAAATGTTTTAAGGTAAAAAATTGATAACTGAAGCTTTTATGTGAATGATTTGTGATGGAATGATCAAATACTATGCTTAATATTCTGCAAAAATATTAATTAATATTTTATGTTTTGATATAAAGAAAAGCAAAAAAAAAAAACCACAAAGAAATAAATAAAAATCTAGCCCTTGGAGGCATCCCACAAAATTTTAATTAGTTGGAAGAATAATAATTGGAAAATTACGCGGTTAAGCAAATTTATATTATTTAATTACTCATCTTAACTATAGTTTGCTATAATTACCACTCACGACTAACATTATACATTAATTATGTGGGCTGACTTCGAGTTTGTATAATTACCTACATTTGTATATGTATAATTCACAAGAATATACAAATTCATATGTATAATATACAATTATTTAATCAATATACATATAAAATTCACCTCTCTTCCACTCTCTAACCTCTCTTGCTCGCCTCTCTCCTTCCTCTCTCAATCTCGCTCGCCTCTCTCATCTCTCTCCCAATCTCGCTTGCTTTTTATACAAATGCATTAGAATAATCTAACCAATATACATATATAATTCACCTCTCTCCCACTCTCTGCCCTCTCTCTCTCACCTCTCTCCCAATCTCGCTCGCCTTTCTCCTCCCTCTCCCAATCTCGCTCGCCTCTCTCCTCTTTCTCTCAATCCCGCTTGCGATATATACAAATACATATGTATAATATACAATTATCTAACCAATATGCATATACAATTCACCTCTCTCCCATTTTTTGCCTCCTCTCTCGCGTTTCTCTCTCCTCTCTCCCCTTTCACTCGCCTATCTCCTTCCTATAATATGAAGCTACGAATTGTAATTATCAAATTATAGCTATTGAGAATAATTAGGCTATTCTTAAGTGGCTATATGTGAAAGTTCCTCAATAATAATTTGCTTCATATGCAGTTAATTTTCACCATACGTGATTTGATTTGTTTTTTATTAAAATAGAAAATTGTTACTACTGAAAATATAAAATATAATATAACATAAAACAATTAGCTACCAAAATTGCAGAGAATGAATTTTATGAAAAAAGATTTAATGTTTAAGTGCTACAATTGGGAAGAAAACGATTGTATACAAATTCCTTTTGAAAGAATCACTGCGATTCAAGAATGATTATTTTTAAAAAATAAAAATGAAATTGCTGCTTGTGGAAGATTGAATTTTTGACTTCGCAATCGTATTTCACGGTGTTAAAATTAAAAGGATCTGGCTGTGCAGCAGCGAGTTGTCCGTTTTGGTATTAAAAAAAAAAAACAGTTGCCCTTTAAGCATTTTTTTCTTTTTTTAAAGAAGTTACCCTTTCGACTTCAACCACTTCATATTTACTTAAACACGTTCTCAGGTTTCACTTACTTTTTTCTGGCTAGTTATGCATCTTTTATTCTTGAATGAATTTAACATCCTCAAATGAAAAAACAAATGCACGTTGCAAATATTGCCAGTACGAATTGACCAATTCAAATTAAATAAGCTGAGTACTATTGATACTTGAAAAGGAAACATCAATAGTCAGAATTATTTATCTTATTCACGCATGACTCAAACATGTCCTAGACATTTTCTTGATACCAAAAATCACTTCAGCTCCTGGTGTTGGCGTAATCCTTTGGTTCGTCATCGTCATCCCTGTAGTTCCCTTCTGATGTTTCCTCTCCGAGATGTTCATTTACAGATTGAATTCCCTGATCTGCACTAACCTGTTCTTGGCTTCCATTATATGATGCTTCAGATCTCCCACCAAATCCCGTGTTAGCGAAGCTATTATTATTGTTACTAGGAGCTCCACCAAAGTCATTCCCACTGTTGCCACCACCATAACCACCTGAGAAACTACTGCCTTGACCAGAATAATTGATGTTTGGAGTGCTGCTTCCGTAGTTGCCACCCTCAACAGGGGAACTGTTGTTCCCATAGCTGCTACTACCACCTCCATAGCTACCGTAGCCTCCAGCAGAACTGTGACCACTAGAAAATCCACCACCGTAATTGTTGGTTTGGTAACCTCCAGAACCTGCAAAATTTCTGCCTTCCCCCCCGCCATAGTTATAGCCACTACTGCTACCGTAGCCACCTCCTCCAGCAGAATTGTAGCCACCTCCTCCAGGAGAATTGTAGCCACCAGAAAATCCACCACCTCCACCTCCATAATTACTGGCTGCATAACCTCCACCACCTGCAAAGTTTCCACCTTCTCCACCATAGCCACCTCCAAAACCATCACGACGTTTTTCTGTGGCATAATTCACCTTTATCCGTCTTCCATGAAGATCCTGAATAAGTTACAAAGTATAAATTACTTTAGCACCATTACTAAAAGAAATCCAAAATTGACCAGTGAGAGCTTAATTTGCTAGTAAATATCACATTGATCGCCCAACCCAAGATGGAACTGGTAGGACGTTTGGTGGGACAGGTGCAACAGGTAAGCTATACAGATATTTAAGCGAGTGGAATTACAAGCGATAGGATTATCAAGAAGATTCTCACTCTCTACAAATAGTTTTACTCTGTAAAGTGATGACGATAATTACTTCATGAAATTTATTAAACAAACTAAAAGATGTCACTGTTCCATGCAGATACAAAGTGTGATTTCGGTGAAATATTGTCCTCTGAACTATATGCATTACAAGTAAAGATGTCCTTTCCCTATGAAATCCATATTGGTCTGTTCAAGTTCTTCTTTTTCAGATACTGCTAAAAAAATCTGTGTAGCTTGTGTTCACAAGGATACCTTTCCAACTAGAAGTAACATCATACCTGGCCATCCATGGCCTGCATGGCACTTGTTGCTTCTTCACTTGATGGAAAACTAATAAAACCAAATCCTCTGGACCTCCCAGTTTCACGATCCAGAATAACTCTAGCTGCAAAGGGGGAGGAAATAGTTTATTCCAAAGTTGAGTTAAATAACACACAGCAAAAGAAGCTGGCCTCAGAGAAATCTCCAGAGAGACTGCACACAGATCTGTCTCATGGATCATTAGAATTGAGACCTTTCACCAAGAACTAAATTGATAAGGAAACATATCCAGTTAAGACCAAAGACGTCTTGTTTCATTAATAGGAGAAATGAATTTGACTTCAACTTCATAACTAATTCAAAACAATGGATAATAATTGTTTCTTCTACATATTCACTATGCCATAATGATTGGAAGTGCTAACTTGTTTCTATTAGTAATCACCACAGACTTGATATTAGCTAATGCTGCATCTACACAGTGATTCATCCCTTTTAAATGAAATGCATAAACAGTAACCCAAGTACCTTCGATTACTTCACCATATTGAGAGAATGTCTCTTTCAGAGAACTTTCATCAGTGCCATACGAGAGACCTGCAGTAAACAATACACAATTAGAGTAAACAAAAGAAGTGAGCAAATAACAAGAGCTACACACAAAAAAAACATCTTCTCACCCCCAACGAAAAGCTTAGACGAAGACATGCTTCTTATAGTCTGGAAAAGTGAACCATTTGAGGCAGAGAGTTCCAAGTTTGCGTTTTTGCCTACACCATGTCTAAGAATATTCCCAATTTTATTGACAAAAGCCATCTTTAATCCAACCTAGTAAACCAGGACAGTAAAGATTCAGTATCACACATTCAATGTAAAAATAAACAAATATTTTTGAAGGAAGTCATCAACAACAGGGCATAAATGAACGGATTTGAAACTAGTTGGTATATGTAGTATGAATAATCAATAGATTCATCAAAGAGTTGGTATGTCAACCATCAATCTGACTCCTTTACCCAAAAACCATTAATGCAATTGAGATCATGCAACAAATATCGAAAATGGTAAAACCCTGATCTTGAAAAAGCTTAAGAAAAAAATGCTACAAATACTCAAATAAAAAAATCTGAACCACCTGAAGAAACTTACCTTTGGTGGAATGATTGCAATGAAGAAGAACACTTGTTGTCTCGTTATACCCTAGAAGGGTTTTACAAGTCCATTAATATCTCAAAATAAATGTCGGCCTTGCGATTACAACTCGATCATTCTTGGCCGTTGGATCAATATGAGGCGGTCGTCAACACAACCTTCTCGTTTTTGATTTTTTTTCATTTACTTTTTTTGTCCTTTAATATTCATTTATATATGTAAATATCATTTAAATTATCTTTTCACAATTTATTTATTATTAATCTTATTTTAACGGTAATATGAAGTTCAAGTTTACAATCATTTCTTGATATTTAATTATTAAAAAGGGATCTTAAACATTAGATTATGGTACAGTTTAGATAATTTAAACCTTGTTAAGCAATGTTGTATTTGTATCTTTTAAGCAAATGTGGTGGTTGAAAACCATAATTATTATTTATATACAAAAGTAAATCATTATTATTTTTACACATGCACTCTGATTTAAGGATGATTGTCTATATCAAACATAATAATATCTGTGAACAAGATGATTCCATTTGTTAAAAAAGAATGTTGTGGCATGTCAATCAAGATTCAAGATATGAAATCTCCATGCACAAGTAGCTTTTTCCAGGACCCAACTAGGCCTAGAGCTACTAACATTTTCCTGGTTTTGACCATGACAATGAAGTTAGCAGGAAAATTAACAACCAGCTAGCAAATAATAAGTACATGGCATTTGACCTTTTTGCACATAACACCAAATTTCTACATTCAACAAGTTATGAATTCATTTAGATTACAAAAATAGATATATCTAAATGTAAACTAGTATGATGATTGAGGATTAAGCCTGTGTGGAAGAAATCCCTGATTAGCTCACTTCCTGTGGGAACCATGTAAAGATCTTGGAGATCCCTCAAACAGATCCAAAAGGAAGTTCTCCAAATCGTCCGCAGTATACTTTATGTGCTTGTCGCTTATATGGTTGGTGTGTCTTCCAACAAATGTCCTGTATCCCTGGATAACCTTGAGTGATGTTGAGATTCGAAGATCTTCACGAAGTTGACTATCTGGGATAGACCATCCTGTCTGGCTCTTGTAGACATCCTCAAATGAGAGATAAAAGTTGTTTAGTCTATCCTTGAGAAGAGTTCTCGAGATAGAATTCGAGCCTGGATTATATAGCCCTTCATCTCTGAGGAAAGAGAGGATAGAGCTCCAAGTAGCTCTCTCATAGCTCATTGCATGATGTTGGAATTTCCAATTATGTTTTCGGATCCAACCATCACCTAGTAGTGTTCTTAGATTGGAATTCTTCACCTTCTCAGCCATGTAATGAATATTATTCATTAAGAAAAGGTGACCTAGTGACTCATCCTTGTATAACCTGGCCTTATCCTCAAGGTTGCACTCCAAGATTGAAGTGAAGGATCGAAAATGTTGAGCCAGCGGAGAAATGTGACTGCGTCTGTCTGTGTTTTCTTCTTCTCTATCAGGTGTCATGTCTGGTAAAATGGGCACTGATTCTTCCTTCTCATGGCCCTTCAGAAGCTCATCAAGTGTCTTGCTATAATCAATAAGAGTTTTCATGTAGTTCATGACATACCTCGTGAGATGGTGTATTCCGCCACCAGGAAAAGGGTTGGCTGATATGCTGGAAGCAACAGCATTTTCAAATTCCAGAAAGGTTGCCTTTGCACAATCACCCAAGCTTCTAAGAATGTCTTGGCACTCTCTTCTAACGCATAACCCCGCCTCATCAGAGTACATAGCATCAATATCTGGGATAAGATCCGCAAGCACCTCATACATGTCAAGAATCCGAATCAATTTCTCCGGTTGATGAGGGCCAATAGCTATGGCTTCACCAAAGTTCAGAAGCTGCAAGATTGAAGCTTTCGAGGCCTCAGCAAAGCAAACTGAACCAACTGCTTCCAGCTCACTAAAAATCTGATCACTTAGCCATTTTTCACTGGCAAGATAAATGCGCACAAAGATCTTCATAGCCCGTATCCACCTCCTGATTTTGGAGTTCAACGAGTTCCATTCCATCTTCAATACATCCTCGATGCTCAACTTCTCTACTTCAAGAATGAAGAGGCAATCATCCAAGCCATCTTTTCTGACATTGATAAATGCTTGAGAACATTCCCGGCCATAATTTGAATCAAACATCAAATTGGCAATGCATCTTAGGTCAGGAATAACATCTGGATGCACCAGTTCAATGATGTACTCCCCTGAACTCCTACTCATGCTATCTCTTTGAACCACATCCTCAATCGAGTCATCCCCAAACGACACAATCGAGCCATCATCCAACGTATCATCTTCACTGGAGCGAAAAGACATATGCTCCGGCTCAAAAGGCTGCCTGTTGTGAACAAGCAAATGCGTAAACTCCTCCTCAAGACGATTCATTGCTGTTTGCAGAAGATCAGTAGCCCTACGCAGAAGCTCATCTTCTTTACTACCTTTAACCAAGTTCAAACTCTCCAATCTCTCAATCAATTTTCGACCTTGATCCACATACCTCAAATACTCATAAGCTTCTTCCTGGCCACAATCCCATATCATTGACTTACCCACCTCCCAGTTCATGACCTTACTCTGCACTAAATTCAGCTCCTCCTCCAGCTCAATAAGCTGCTCCTCAGTTTCACCAGCTCCCTCATCTTCGGGTTCACTCACTCTAGTTATAGAAGACAATTGGGAACCTAGATCAGCTAAAATTTTCCTAGCATCATCCGTTAAAGTCCTATTTGACCCCAACGCTTTCACAATTTTCTGTGCAGCAGCTATTAGGTTTTCTTCTTCTTCTTCCATTAAGGGGACTGAAGATTCACAGTCTCCCATATAAATTCAAAAACCAAGAAACTAGCTCAAGCTTAATCCTAAACAGGTAAAGACTGCAACTTTTTAACTTCTACGAAATACCCAAGAAATTACAATCAAGAAAGAACTTCACCAAGAAATATTATCTGTCACCTGCAAAGATCAACTACTGTAAGAGTTAACCCAAACCCCTTTCGAGGGCAATCTAAAAAAAAAAAAGAGGCGGCTGGGTATAAGATAAGAAGACAAAAGCAGCAAACTTTAGGTTAACTAAAGTGGGAGATTTGAGGATGAAGAAAACACTGGTCAGAAGTAGAAGCAAGAAACAGAGGAAAGTGAAAATGCACAAACCTCAAAGCTCAAATCTTGAATATGCAGAAAGAGAACAAATCAGCAAACAAGATCCATATATGAAGCAGAGAGGAACTGACTCTTTTTTTAACAGTGGCAATGATCAGACAAAGAATGAAAAAGAAAAAGGTGTTTTCTTGGAGAAATGAAGCTCAAAATTAGTGCAGAAAACCGACCATCCAAAAGTATATGTGAGTTGCTGCTTCTTATTGGAGTAAGCGGCTTTCCTTTTTTTTTTTTTGGGTAATGAATTGAATAACTTTGGCCTTCGAGAATGGGCAGTGCTAGTTTGACCTTCAGTCTTTCAAGAAATATCTTGGCAACTTTTACCTATCGTTAAAGTTGCATGTTGGTTTATTACTTTCTTTTTATTACTTTCTCCGTTTAAAAAAAATAATTAATTATTTAATTTTATTTAAAATAAATTTTTTTAAAAAAGAATATTTTTTAATTTTATGATTGTAAATTAAACTTGTATCAAAATATTTTTTAATTTTGTGGCCTTAAACATGGCACATGAAAAGTTAAAGTTAAAAATTTATCAAAAAAAAAAGGAAGCATTCTTTTTGAAACAGACAAAAATGGAAATGTCACGTGTAAAGTTAAAATTAAAAATTTGTCAAAAAAAGAAAGGAATCATTCTTTTCGAAACAGACTAGAATGAAAATGAGGTCATTCTTTTTAAACGGAGAGAGAATAATATTATGAAAATATAAATTCTTAATAAGTTTCTAATTATATTAATTTTTTTAAAATTAAAAAAATTGAATACAATAATTGAAGCTTAAATACATTAAATATTGTTTCGAATTAATACGTAGCTCGAATATACTAAAGACTAGCTTAGATATATTAAATACTGATTGATTACATTAAAATATAGCTCGAATACAGTAAAAATTAGCTCGAATACATTAAATAATGAGTCAAATACATTAATATGTTGCTCGATATATTAAAGAAATAAAAAAATTTAGAGATTTTCAAAAGTAAATAGGGAATAATAGAAATAAGTGAAACAAAATGTCTATATTTCTAGAATTTGTCCAAATATTGATAAAAATTAATTAATTTATTCATCAAATATTTTTTGAAAAATTTAGAGATAAATATAAATATTTAAAAATATATTAATTACATGGATAATCAAAGAAATTTATCTGACCCTTGCGTGTAAAACTTTTTATTTACAAAAATTTACTCAATTACCTGTAAAAATTTAATACGCCACCGCTCACGTTGTAGGAGATAATAATGGTCATCGAGTTGAAAAATAAAAAAAATGTTTTTTTAGTTAGTTACAACTTAAGTACATACAATATATTAAAATATTGCGATCTTGAATATGGTGTGTTATTCAAATAAAATGGCACAAATAATTTTGTTGCATTTTATGATATTTTTTTTTAGAAAAAATATGCCTTTTTCTATGTGCAAGATTTTTATTTTTACACATAAATCATCTAAAAATGTCATTTTCTCCATTACGATAAAACATCTCTTTTTTTACAAAATTATTTGATTGTGATAATATTAATATATATAATAATAATATTTTTAGTGAAATCTTACTAAGTGTGACCCGAAGAAGGTAGATTATATGCAGATCCTATCACTACGTTATGGGATAGAGAGATTGATTTCAAAAGTTTCACAACTCAAGTGCATCCAACTTAAATAAAAGAAGGTAAAAACCTAACAGTTAATAAGAAAAACAATATAAAGTCTACTCGAAACAATAATAATAACAATATAGTATAACACTTAAAACACAATAAACAACATGTGTCAAGAACTACAAAGCAACAGAATAATGAAGTTTAAAAATAAGCTTCAACAATCAATAAACTTATTTTTAATTTTTTTTTAAATCAAGGTTGATAACTTAAATTCATGATGAATCTTGGATAAATGCTAAACAAATTAAAATGGAGTAACTTTTTGGCTTTTAATGTTGAAAAATGGACAGATGGAAAATAAGGTGATCAATTTGAAAATCACAACTTACATTGTTGACAAAGCATAAAAAGGAAGAAAAGTCTCAAGACCAATTTTCCAATACTGAATTGTTACCCAACTTATTTATTCTAAAATAATTGAGATTTTTCATAATTTGTAAAAATAAATTAATTTTCTTTCATCTTACAAGTCAAAAACTTTAGATCATGTAAAGTTTGTCAATTTGGTTACAATCTCGGATATTTAACTAACTTGGAACTTTGTACTTTAATAATTTTTTGCCAAAGGAAGTGTTTAACTTTTATTATATGCAAGACTCATGTTATGTATTATTTTTTTTATATATATATATAGAATTAAAATTATAAGGGTTTTGCCAATATTATCCACTTAATATGTTAAATTCCAATAATTTTGGTATTATTTCAATATAACAAGATAAATTAACTATCTATTGGTGTGGAAAAAAGTAACTGAAATTTATGTTATGGCATATATCAAGGAAGGTGTTTAATGTTTTAAATAGATCAAATGGATGGTAAAATTTTTAAAATAGTTATAAGAAATCAAATTGGTCGGTTTAAAAAATTTATTAAGCATTTAATGTGTCAATTTTTTTTTTATCGAGATTCAATCATTTTATCCCATAAAATAGATTATTTTTTTATTCATTTTCCATCGAATCTGTTATTGAAAAAAATGCATAACAAAAAATAATCTCTAACTTAAATAGTAAAAAAAAATTTTATTTTTTTCTATGAAAATATTATTAATTTCTTTTTTACATATCTAATCAAAATATATATGTGAAAATAAATCATAACATATGTTTTTTTAATATACATAAATGAATGTGACTTGTGAGGGTGAGTCACTATGTAGCCAACATATTGTGAACGTTCTTGGCAGCTTCATAACAGTTTTATTTTCCGAAGAAAAGTGCTAAGATAATCATGTTTTTTAAATAATAAAGAAAAGTTATAAAATTGTAGTATTACTCAGCAGCCACGAATATTGTTAAAATTAATAATTATTTATTGAAAGACATTCGTTTAACTAATTATTTTGATATAAAGTGTAGTACAAATAATTATTATGATAATAATAACCCCCACGTTGTTGGTCCAAAAAAAGATTAGACGAAGGACGACATAAATGTTGATCAATTCTGTCCTCTTCCCTAATTAGTTAGAATGTCTCTTTCGTTTAATTAAAAAAAAATACAATAAAGATCTCCACGTTTCCACGATCCAATTCGACCAATTAAACACTAAATTCTTCTTCATTTTTTTTTTAATTTTCTTCTCATGGATTGCATATATTTTACAATCTTTTTTTTTTATACTATAGTTTGATTCAGAAATTTTCGAAGTACCTCTTTGATAATCACAATAATAGTAATGATGAATTACTAGCATAAAAGTATTAAAACAAAAAAAGAATAAATTAATTGTGGTAAAGTAGAGATTAAATTTGGGGTTTAAAGGAAAGTCAACAAGGAACATAGAATTTTGGTAGAAGTTCCATTAGCACAAAAGTAGGCACTGAAATAGTCATGTGCTTTGACTTTTCAAATTCAAATTCCTAATTTGAAGACCCAACATAAACAATTTTGTTTTAATAATAATTCCTTACCACAATTTTTGCGCCTTGTTCATACAAATTATTTGTTTGGCTGTTTAAATTTCAACCTAAATTAATTCGATATTTAAAATTCAAAAAATAAAAGAATTCTTGGTGTCAATATTGTATGAAAAAATGAAGATTTTAATAGTATACATTGTTTGGATCTCATAATTTGTGTCAATATTGCATTACCTCCATCTCATTTTCTATGTCATTTTTTTAATTTCAAGAGTCAAGTTTTGACAGTAAATTTTTCATCGATCTTATAAATATTTTGAATTATCAATTATTGTGACTCATAGTACTTTTTACGTAGTTTACAAATATATAAATTTCATTTAAAAAAATTAAAGACTTTATGTGTAAATTTCTAATCAAATTTAAATCGTTTGATTCTTAAAATATAAAAGACGTTATATGAATTAAAATGGAGAGAACATAAAAAAAAAAATTTATATTATCCAAATATCCATCTCATTATTTAGTGGAGAATCGGAGATAGAATTTATGTTAGTGGCCTAAAAAAAGGACCATTTGTGTAATTATTCTAATTTATAATGGGTCCACATTGTGATGAAGACCCAAATTCAATATTCTCTTTATAGTTTGAATTTGAATTATTAAGAGATTATTATATTATTTAAATAATTTATAATGAATAAATGTAAAATTATATTTATTAAATAAAATAGAATATAAACAAATAAAGATGGATGGAAGAGATTATACTACTAATAAGAATTCTAATCCCTTTTTATTGAAATACGAAATATAAAGAAAATTCATTTTCCTAAAACACGTGAGGTAGACTTCAAACCACACCTACCTAATATTGTTACAACAAATTGATACCTTTTTTTTTCCCCAACCCAAAGTCCTATTGTAATCTCCCTTTTTCCATCAATTCTCTTTTAAAAGTTGAAACAATTCTTTTCTTTCAACTTGGCAACTCTTTAATTCTTAGCCTAAGAGTAGAAACAATTGACATTTTTGAAGCATACATAATACTAATAATAGTATAATTTATAATGTCACAACAATCATGACTTTGGAAGTGGCTCTCCTTTTAAAAATGATCTAAATAGTTGATAAGCTGCCCTTGGCTTGAATAATGGCACTTCATGACCTGCCCCTCTCACTGTTGCAAATGTTAGACCTTTGTATACCTCTGTCCAGCCCCCAACCTTACAATAACCATAACATAATAATTAAGTTGTTAATCAATATAAGTGATCATGGAAAACTAGAATTCGTTTTTTTTTTACATTACTCACCTGTTTTTTGACATACCAAGGATACCATGGAGTTGTGGTAGATAACTTGAGCTGTGCTAGGGAATACCTTGTCGCGGTAACGGGTACAACTGAGTCTACATCACCACTGCAAAACAAAAAAATGATCAAATGGAGTTGCCCTGGAATTTTGGGAAAATGTTTTCAACTCAATGTCACATACCTGAAAACCCAAATTCTCAATCCAGCAGCAATTAGTTCCTGGTAGATTGGGAGAATCGAGTCATCTGTATCATTCCAGTTTCGATTCAATGTCTCACTGTAAACATATATCAATCAGTTGTAAGATCAATCAACATAGTGGGAGTTTGGAAGACAAATTATTTACCTGCAGGCTGTCCATTTATAAGGAATTCTTGTTGTATTCGCGTGCATAGCTTTCTGCACATC